CCATTGTTGGAACAGTTGCACGAGACAAGAAATGGTCGGAGTGCTTGTCTCTGCTACTTGAAGGCTATGGATATTTTGATATTTTGAAAAGAAAAGTGGCCTGATGCATTTGGAAGAACAAAAAATATGTTTCAATAATGCCATTACTGCTTATCACATGTATGTTACTTGGGAATTCTCTAATTTATTCGCCATACTGGCCCGAATGACGATTGATGAAGCGACAAAAACTGAAATAAACTAAACGTTTAATGGAGGAACTTGTGCAAAATAAAAAAGAAAAGAAACAAAATAGAACAATAGAGCGTCTCGGGCGTCGGAGTTGGCGTAACAGCAGGATCGTATATACGCACGGGCGAGACTGAAGGCCGGTTCAGACACTTGCGTTTGAGTGCGTTTGACTGCGTTGCGTCGAGTGCGGAAAGCTAGTCACCGGCACATCTGTGCTTCGTATGAAGCATGGAATCCAATCCAAGAAATCATCTTGGCACGCGATATAAGCAGCAGGGATGTCCTGGTTTCTCGCTGCCGCAACGCAGTCAAACGCAGTCAAACGCAACTGTCTGAACCAGGCTTGACTGCGGTTCGCCACGCGGATTTCTTTATGTACACGCGTTGGCTTCTGGAACGGTTGGCGTAGAAGGTTCGGCGTGTAGAACATTCGGGCTTCGAATAAGCAACGGGGTTCTCGAACTTACCACAGCATTAAACTGAGAGAATAAATAAAATACGCGTAACTCCCGGGAATTGAACCCTGAGCCTCCGCACGTAAGTCGAGCGCGGTAACCACTCGGCCACGCACGTGCTCGCTCGCCGACGCTCGAGGCAATATGAGTCAAGGCATAAATGCGTTGACGCACATGGCGAATGAATTACAGGCTTTTCTTTCTGATATAGATAGGCAGAAAAAAAAGCGCCGAAAATGCGTGCTATATATGTATCTGTGTATTCAATATTTTTATGCCACGCCTTCTGGAATTGTTTGAGGCAAAAAAAAAAAATCGGAGTTGTCGAAGCACTTTTAAGAGGTATGTGGTCTACCAAAAAAAAAAGAGTCAGACGTCTCGCAGTTGGAAGTCCCTACCTAAGCTCGGCGCAACCTTATTCCTTCCACGCTGTCAAAGTCAGTATATCATCTACCGTGCAGAAGCACAGTACTATTCCGAGAGCACGCTTCCTCCCGCGACTCATTCGCATGCGCTTTTTTGAGAAAAAGGACGCTAAACAAATCCACGCAAAACGCTTTGGCAACTTCGGAGCTCTTGATAAAAAGTGACACAAATTACGTATACAGTTTCTCCACACTTATAAAACAAAAACAAAAATTCGCCTCAGGTGGATTCTTGGTATACATCAGCATACATCAAATTTACTTCTATTTTACTTCGGATTTTAGTGTATAAGGTGCATGCTTGGACACTTTCTGGCGAATAAGGTGTCCATATAAGCAAAATACAAATATATATTAAGCTTTTCTAGTTTGTTATTTGCTCATTTCTCAGTTTTATTATATTATTTGTTGTGTATTAATCTTACTATATTATGTGTTATATTTCGCGAACTGTTCAATAAAAGTAAAACATTTGCGTGCACTAAGGTAAACTTTTTTAATAGGGAGTATCGTAGAAACGACGCTAGTTTCGACAATGCAGCACATAAACATGAGAGAGCTTTAGTAGTTCGTGTTTTTGTGCCACTATATTTGGAATGGGAGCTCGCACTGCCGATTCGATGCATGCTCTGAAGCGCGAGCACGCAGCTGTAACGTGCCTTTGAAAACGATCTACTGAAACTCCCTATAATCGCCGAGTGCAGAATAATATACTGCTCTGTGCAGCATTTTCGTGTAGTTGCTATACGGCGCAAACAGCTGTTATCAGCGCTTCCTTGTGAATATTATAGTTTGTTTGATCGTTTTCATTTTAAGAGGCTTCGTGCCTGATAATATAATTGGTGGCCGAGAGCACGAGAAGTCGTCCCCTGTTGCCTTTATTCTAGACAGCCACCATAGCCTAAATTAGGAAATCGACGTATTATCAAAGGTAAGCTCTGGAACTTGGCAATGTGAAGCTGCCCAAATACCACAAAGTGAGAATCAGAAAGGGTGCCAACGGGGGTCCCACGTCGGTTTTGCAACTCCGGCCAAAGTGGCGTCCACTTGGGCAGCCCATTTGGGCTCCCTCGGGGGACCCAGAGGGGTCCTATATGGGGCAGCTCACATTGGCTTCCCTTGTGGGACCCTCCGTGGGTTTACTTGGGCAGCCCACAAGGGCCCCCATCGCGGGGCCAAAGGGGACGTAGATGGGAGCCCACATGTGTCTCCCCCCCCCCTCTTGTGGGGTTCGCACTAAGCCTACGTTGGCAATCCAACAGGCCCCCCCCCCCCCCCCCCGGGTAAACCTAATTTTGACAGAGTAATTCCCTCTTTTCCTGCGATGTGGGGTATTACAGTGCAATCTAAATTCAACATTCCTTACATTTTTCATGTGCATACTGAAAGTAATAAGCTTTTGATAGATCAATAACACGTTTTGAGCAAGACAATGCACATTGGCCGTTTTAATTGTACGAAATGCATAAAAACCTCTGCACTCTTCTTTATAAAATCCTGGCTGACAAGCAGAAAAAGTGCATAACAAGCTTGGGCCAGCTAGAGACACATTACACTCCGACGAGAGTGCTTGGAGTTCACCTTCAAATAAAGTGCTCTTTGTAAAAAGTTACGCTCCATGTAATACGACCTCAACTTACTAGTTGAGTAGCAAGTTAGAATATTTTGCGAGCCTAACACTTTTTGTATCAAGCTTCCATTTGAAGTCGTGGATTATTTAATATTAAAATAAACTGATATCTATTGTTGAATTTCCAGAACGTCTAGTACATATTCTTAATATCAGTGGACAGTGCCAGTGTTATAGTTGCACAGGTAGTCGAAGTTGGGCATGCCCACGCTTTTCACCCTTGGTGCCCTCGTCTTCCTAAAATTGGTTCCTGCAGAGCCGAGGTGGGACGCACGGGGGTTTTACATTGGTAGCTGAACTCGGGCATGCCCACGCTTTGCCGCCGTGAAGACCTCGTATCTCATTTGGCCCCGGTAGAGGCGAGGTGGGTCCACTGGAGGTTTTACATGCGCAACCCAAGTCGGGCATGCCAAAGCTTCACTGCTGTTGAGCCCATATCATCACAACTTGGTCCCGGCATGGCCAAGGTGGTACCCACGAGGATCTTAAATGGTCAACCCTAGTTGGGCATGCCCGCGCTTTGCTGCCGTGGATCCCCGTTTTTTCGCAAACTTCGTCCCCCACAACCGACATGAAACCCAAAAGGGGTTTTACATGGGCAGCCCAAGTTGGGCTTGACCAAACTTTGCCGGAGTGAGCCCACATCATCGCATTCGGCCCCCCGCAAATCCGAGGTGGATCCCACGTGGGTTATACATGAGCAGCCCAAGTCAGGCCTGCCGACGCTTCGCGGTCGTGGAGCTTTAATCACCGCAGCTTGGTTCCCGTACAGCCGATGTGGGACAGACGGGGTTTTTACATGTGTAGCCCAACTCCCTCATGCGCACGCTTTGCCCGTACCTTTGCAAAATCTGCCTCCGTATGGGCGAGGTGGGATCCACGGCTGTATTGAACCTGCAGCCAAAGCTGGGCACGGCCATATTTTGGCCCTCTGAAGAACCTATTTGCGCTAACTCTGCCCCCGCATAGCTGAAGTGGGAACGACGGCGCTGGGCGTGCCCTCGCGTAGCGGAGACCACGAGCGTATTGCACTAGCACACCATATTGGGTATGCCCCCTCTGCGGCCACGTGGGACCAGCGTGGGTTTCGTATGGCCTGCCCGAGCGTTCATGGCCCATGTGCGCCCACATAATCCCCACCTCTTGTGCTACCTGTGTGACAGATCAGGTGAAGCTCGGAAGGCACTTGCAGTGTAGTGGAAGTGCTTACATATCTTAAGAGTCTTTAAATGGTGATAGAACTTAGAAAAAAATGTAGAGATCAATTTCCTGTCTTGCCAACCTTTTGCAAACTAAATTGCGAGGATGCATTAAAATATTACTAGCGGTGACATCCTTTCCTTTTATAATAGTATTAAAGATATAGTTTCCAATCGGTCCAATATTCTAAATAAGACGATCTAAGTGTCGACTTCAGCGAAACTTCAAAAGGAATCGCCCTTCACACTATTCTGAAACTTTGCACAGGTTTGAAGCATTTAATCTAACAAAATATTTGGTCTCTTAGAAACTTCGAAAAACCTACAAAGCTTTTCAAAGTTACCATGATTTCAGCGATTTGCCAAAAAAAATATTTTTTGATCAAAGCAAGTACATGCGTCTGCAACCTGGAACGTACACCAAATATATCTAATCAACGCACTTGAAGCTGCCCAAAATCGCGCTACTCGGTTCATTCATTTTTTATGTTCATTTAATATCAGCATATCAGCATAAAAGCTGAATCAGGGCTTCGGCCTCTCTCCAGTCGTCGACGTAACACCGGTGTCTGTTTGTTTAATACGCGTTTTGTTCATTCTTCGCTTCGTCAACCACCTTATCTTTTACCCATCTTATCTTTTACGCTCATTCGCACCAAATTCCCGCCCATGCACCCGCACTGTCGCATTTTTTGCTTCATTTTTCCCCCCAGCAGCTCTGAGCTGGGACTGCATTTCTTACGCTGTTGCAATGAATTGCCCATTCACATTCATGAAAAATGTAACTGGACATGTGTAGCTTTAAAATTGTTTGGCATCAATGTATATCCCATTTATGTACCCACCCGTTATATAATGACCCTTCGAGGGTCATTAAGGGTAATAACATGAAATTAAATGAAAAGGACACAGGCTAGCATAAGTTGCGAACATATATATTGTTTATTTTTATATATATAGTTATATAATTTCGATCCTTGTGGATATAATTTCGATCCTTGTGGCAGAAATGGAATCCTCACTGTATTTTGATGTTTTATTTTCGCTTGTGACATTACAGATTGAATGGCTGAAACTATTAAATCATGAGTTTGCAGTGGCCAATATGACACTCAATGAGAGCGAACGTGTGATTGTATTGGAGCCTGATTATGTTAAAGATATTCAGAAAATTCTGGAAGAAGAAAATATGTAAGTCAACACATACGATTACACTATTATGAAGTTTAGATATCACAAACCTACGTGCAAAACAATTTGTATTCACGTTCGGCCTAGGTTTATAAACCTTGTAAGGTGTGCGACAATTAAAAATATCAGAATCCTTTACCTTTGAGGCCTTACAGTGCATGGAATGCAGTGCTTCAGGTGGCATCGCTTAAATTTCTTTAGACGACGTTACACCGTGATGTAAAAAAGTCAAGACAAAAACAAGACGTTCTTCCATCACGAACGTTTAGCGATGCTCCGAGTTTTCAGACGCCAGTGTTTACAACCCCTACATCTGATAATTTAACGCGTGGCATGCCTATATTTAATAGTTGTTCCTAGACGGGCCCGCCGTTTCTTCTTCGGGGCGAGCGATCGTGCTGAGTGACATAATTTGCAATCCGAGTTTGTCTATGTGACAGAGGTATGTAATCGCTGACACCTAAGTTACATGTTTCGCTAAACTTGGCGGAGAAGCAGAATCGGAGTATAGGTCACATTACATCAGGACACGTCATGTCGATATCCCTGCTAAATTTAGTGGAGAAACTGAACTGCTGTGTAAGTCGCGTGACATTATTTTTCCCGCTATACTTAGAAGAGAAACTAAATTGTCATTTAGGTCATGGAATATCAGATGACGTGGCGTCAATTTCATCGCTAAATTGAGAGGGCGAAACTGAATCGGTGATTAAATCACGTGATGTCTATTGAGGTCCAGTGAGCTGATGTCTCGCGATATATACACCAATTAAGTTTTCCCATCAAATTCGGCAGGGAAATTGGTGTCACGGGACCTGTCGCGTCAAGCGACCTATACACCAAATCAGTTTTCCCCCTGAATTTTGCGGGAAAATTGCCTTCCCGTAGCCTGACGTCGCATGACATATACACCAATTCCCTTTCCCTGCTAAATTTAGAGGGAAACTTAACAGCACGTGACCTGATGTCTAGAGACCTATACCCCAAATATGTCTCGCCACTACATTCAGCGAAAAAAATGACGTCACGTGACCTGGTGGTCTAATCTACACGGTGGGACTAACCGGGGCTGGGCGCCCGGGAGATCGCAGCCCGGTGCGATTGGTGAGCGCCGCGTCGCTGGGGTCACGTGGCCTATAGTCCAAATAAGCTTCCCTGCTTAATTTGGCGCAAACATTCATGTCACGTGATCTAAGCACCTTCCGTTTCCCCAGTAAATTTAGGGTAATATTGACGACACATTACCTGACGAAACGTGCCCAATGCGTCCATACAATTTCCCCTGTAAATATAGCAGGAAAATTAACGTCACGTGGCCTACACCTCAATTTAGTTTTCCAACTAAATTAAGCGCAGAAATTGACGCCACTTGACCTATGTATCAATTTTCCCCTCTCAGTGTAGCGGGATATTTGATAAAAATCAAGGCTCTTCACTCTCCGAAGTTTGGTGGCTGCTAAATGACTTTAAACGTTCGCACCATAAATACTGCATTTCATGCATTATAGGATTTTGAAGATAAAGGTCGCTGCCAAGTTTTTCCAGAAGAGCGGTTGTACAAGTGCTTCTCACGAAGCGTCAAAAGTTCGAACTGCGGGTTGGTCCCGATTCCGAAAGGGCAGTTGCGCTTCCTCACCAATCTTGTTGGCGACTCAGAGAAGTCGTGGAGGAGCAGAAGAGGAAGCGCAACTCCAGGTCCGGACGGGAAACGCAGGTCAGGCTTTCGCAGCTTGATGTCGTCCTTGTTTGAAAGAAGGTCAATCATGCTATAAAAGCAGCTTTCGTGCGAACCGCTCCGAAAACTTGCGATATGAGTTTATAAACACATATGGTACAAACAAAGAGTCAGCTGACCCTATTAGTGGTACACGGGTCGTAAGCGAAGGCAATGCCATAAAAAAAAAAAACGGCGATCATACTCATCTGCATCAAACTAAATGCACAAAAACATAACGTCGCTGAGAAAAAAACACATCGTATATACAAAAACCAAAGCCCTTACAAAGAGAAAGAAAAGTGAGCAGAAAACCCGAAAAAAATGTTAATTCCGATTGAGTTAACAAAGATGCACCGTATATTACAACTGGATGCTCCTCGCCGGATAGAATTGCGGGCGGTCATACTTCAAAACAATATAGCTGTTAATTTCAGATTCACAACCCACACTAGCAGTACAGGTCAAGGGTATATTTTCACGAATGACAATTGATGAGGCGACGAATGCCTGACAGAAAATCGACGTTTAATGGGGCGAACTTGTGCCTGAAACAAAATAGAATAAGGCGAGCGTCACAGGTGTCGCTGGTGGCGTAAGAGTTGGATCGAACGCTGGGGCGAAACAAACTCCGGCTAGCCACGCGGAGCCCCTTGTGTACACTCGTGGGCTACTTGAACAATTAGCGTAGAAGGTTCGGTTCATAGAGATTTGGGTCCTCGAACATGCAACAGGGTTAACAAATTTACCACAACGCTACATATTACAGAAATAAAAAGGTGCGTCCGCTCTCAGGCATCGAACTTTAGCCCATTTTTGTCGGAGTCATAAACGATAACTAAACGGCCACGGGCGCGCTCGCTCGGAGACGCTCGTGTCATCACAACCTGCAAGGAAGCAATGCAGTGCAAAACAAACAAAAGAATTGGAAAATACGGTGGCTGGTAAATCCTAGTGGTCTCAACCTCTGCACGGAATAACAGCTTACAGAATTATCGAGCGTACGGCTTGAGGCGCACGACGTGGACGACTTCATGTCGTGGTTCTGGCGTGATAGTGTTCTTCGGTCTGGCATTACCCCGTAGTTCAGATCTCCCAGTCGACGAACTACATTTTAAGATCCGAAGTATCGTTTCAGGATTTTCTCGCTTAAGCCGCGGGGACGAATGCCTGTCCACACCCACACCCTGTCTCCGGGTTGTAAGTGAACGTCCCGACGACAAGGGTTTTTCCGTCATGCAGCTCTCACGATGCATGCCACTGCCGGCATGCATCGTGTGAGCTGCAGTCTTTCGGAACGCGCGATGACACCGCTGCTAGTCGGCACGAGCAGAGCACCAAATTGCACAAGCTGTCTCATGCATTGCCCCCTGCATCCTAGGGGTCTCAGGCCCACAGAACCACAGCAGTTCTGGCCTCCGTGCAAAAAGACTAGTCCCGCAATCCATGAAGGCTTCGGTGGTATAAGAAAACTGGCTGGTGAAGTAAAATTGTTCAATAAATTATAAAAAATTAAAAAAAAAACACACAAAAAAAACGAATCGATTGTTTTCAACACGTCGCCTAATCACTCGAAAGAGTCGCGTGAACTGCCCGTGCCGCAGTGCACGCGAGGTCGGTCGATCAGCCGCTGTTCAGAGCGAGTGTGTTTAATCACGGCTGCTGGAGCAGCATCTATCGCCGTTTCATTTAGAGTGCCTTCATACACACGCGCGCTTTTGCTTGAGTGGTGACATCTCAGCCATTTTTCCGCCCAATCGTTTGTTTATGCATTTTGAAGTGCGTGCAATCCGCTGTCACTCAGCTCGAGCGCTTAGCTTTGGCTAATGCATAGACGCCATTTTACCGCCCTAGTCACGCACCGGGAGCGTGAGAGCGTCACGCGCTGGCACATTCAGGGCAACAATGGATGTCTTCACCCTGAGACAGACAGGCATGTAGGCACCCTAGTTTCATTCAAACCGGAGCGCCTCGCGCTGAAGCGAGCAAACAAGCAAGCCAGCAGATAAGAAAGGACACGCGTGCGTACTGTGCCGGTCTCGGCAGCAGGCAGCGTGCAGTGAGGAAGCGCGGCGATGCAATTCGGTAGGCGCACCGGTCTTATCCAAACCTTTGATCCCGACAGTACTCGCGCGGGCTTCTGGAACAAACGGCGTAGAAGGTTCGGTGCGGAGCACACTCGGTCCTCAAAATAGCAAAGGGGTTCTCGCATTTACGACAACGCACATTTACAGGAACGCGACATTCACAGGAATAACAAAAAGGTGCGTCGGCTCCCAGGCATCGAACCTGGGACCATTAGCGTTGGAATCAAACACGCAAAACATGGGCGCGCTTGTTAGGAGTTTCGAGTGGCAATATTTTGGGTGTATATATGGAATTGTTCTACAATTACTGCTTATTTGGACGAGCGCCGGTCAGTAAAACTTTAGACATAGAGGTGAACTCTTATGCTGGATGAATGTAGGGACCTAATCACAAATGTCATTCTAATATGTATGTGATCGGGTGCATTTTTTCCGCAGATCTACGCTGTACAATTTTGTGCACTGGATTACAATTCGGACTTATGGTGCTGATGGGTCCAAAGAGCTTGACAAGCTCTTCCTTAACTTTGATAAAGAGGCAACAGGCGTAAAGAAAGAAAAACCACTGTGGATGCAGTGTCTTTCCGGTATATCAGACTTAATGACACACGCAATAAGTCGTCTTTATGTGGACAAAATGTTTGATCCCAAAGCCAAGAAAACTGTAAGCAAAACTTTTCAAGTTCCCGATAAATGCGTCTCGTTAACTAAACCTTCGGAACAGTATAATTAGTTCTTTAAAAAAAAAGTTCATCTGCACTCAGAAGGCCTGCCCTTTCTAAAAGTATGTAAATGCTTTGTCCGATACTTTGTTTTATAGTGTATCCCGGATTTAAATCATAATAATTGCGAATATCCATTCTTAGTTTTAATAATAAATAAAACGATTCTAATATATGTATTTAAGGCGCACGTTATCTATTTAATATTATTCGTAAAAAGCCAAAAATAGGCGAAACCAAAGTTTGAACCTAAATGTTATCAGTGCTATCCAACGTAATATATAAGAATTTGGTAGTGCCATTCGAGCAAATGCTAAAAACAAGAAACGTAATCGTTTACTTGGCCTGGAATATTTCCACTAAATAATAGTTTATGATTGATTCAGCCTGCAAACGAACATTCGCATTCTTATGAGACTCAGAATTTGTTCTACAGAAAGCATTACGACGTGTGCTCTAACATTAGGCAGTATGTTCGAAGCTAAAGATATGGGTAATTGCTGAAAACTGCCGGTCATGTAATGGTACAGCGGACATGCCAGTTATTTTACTGTAGTGGACTTTCTTGCAATTTGTAGGACTAGTGTAATTCAAAAGTGTATATAGTAGAGCTAGTAGGACCACCTATATTCTAATCTTATTGAAAATGAACTTATTCTGTGGTAAAAGATGTCTTCCTGAAGGTCATTCCATTCCACAATTGCATCAGGAAGAGGGGCGTGCTGATGTGCTGTGGAAAAACACATTGGCCGGGCTATTTTATTGCAATGATCGAGTCTGGGCAAAAGATAAGTCGGTGGGAAAAGAAGAGACTGATATAAAAGTGGTGAATAAAAAACTTTATGCAGAAGGCAGAGACGGGATATTTTTCGACGGGTGAAAAGCAATGGGAGAGAGAGATATTTGATTTAATGAGGGAAACACTAGAAAAACTAGAGTAATCAGACCGAATAAAACGCGCAGCACGGTTTTGAACATATTCAATGTACTCTGTTAATGTAGCTTGATGAGAGTGACAGATTGAAGATGCGTATTCTAATTGAGACCGGACTAGGGCAAGATAGAGGAGCTGTTTTAGTTGAGGAGGGGCGGATATGAAATTGCTTTTGTTAGCGGAACTCACAACTGAATTAATATGGTTTTCCCAGAAGAGGTTTGAAGTTAGAAGAACGCCGAGGTATTTATACATATCCGTGGGTTGAAGAGGGATGCCATTGAGAAAATTAACAAGAGAGGTTTGAAAGAAGGAACGAGAGAAGCGCATGCATTTACATTTGCTGATGTTAAGCGTCATCTGCCAGTTAGTACACCAGCTCTGATCTAGGTCGAGGTCATTTTGTAGGGTTAAAGAGTCATGAGGGGATGGTATTTTTCGGTAAAGGACACAGTCGTGGACAAATAGGCTCATGGGTGAGGATACCTGAAAAGGAAAGTCGTTGATATAGATGAGGAAAAGTAACCGACCAAGCACCGTTCCCTGAGGCACGCCAGATGTTACGGGGGCTAAATTAGAAGAACAATTATTAACATGAACAAACTGATGACGTTGAGAGAGAAAAGATTCAATCCATGAGAGAACATTATTATCGAGGTTTAATGACGATAGTTTAAGAAGCAGTCTGTTGTGCAGAACTTTGTCAAAAGCTTTAGTGAACTCGAGAAATACAGCGTCAGTGGGGTAGCCAGAATCAAGGTTTGCGAACAGGTGATCTGTTAAACAGAGAAGTTGGGTTTCGCAGGAGTAGTTTCAACGGAAGCCGTGCTGCGCTTTGTTAAAAGAGGAGATAGAATCAAGGTGAATAGATAGTTGCTTGTGAATTACATGCTCGAGTATATTAGAAGGTACAGAAGTTAGAGATATTGGCCTATATTTTAAAGGAGAAGATTTATCACCGCTTTTGTGGACCGGGTTGACCTTGCCGATTCTCCAATCCTCAGGAACCGCCGCCGTACCTAATGATTGTTGAAAATTATTTGTTGGAAATAGGCTTGAGGAATATTTAGTGTTTTGTAAGACCTTAGAATTTATGCCGTCGACACCACAGGAAGAGGACCTTTTTAGGGACTGAATAATATTAACAATACCTTCGTAATCAATACAAATTGGATCCATAAGTAAAACGTTGCTAGTAATAGCTAAGGACAGTGTTAAGAGACAGTGGGCGGTAAAATGGGGAAAAAAAATATATGATTAAGAACTGTGGCACACCGATTATTCTCAATAATGTTCTCAGAATCATCAATATGCGCTAGTGGGGAGTATGGTGCATAATTTACAACATTCCAAAATTGGCGTGAGTTGTTTAGTAGCATAGATGGAAGGGTCTTCTGGTAAAATATACGCTTCTGTTGTTCTAACATAATTTTATAATCAGTGGCGCATTCATGATATTTAGACCTGGATAAAACAGTGTCTTGTTTTTTGGCTAGTCAAAAACGTCGTTTTTTTCTTATTGTTAAGGGTTTTCAGTGAGCGCGAATACCAAGGATTAAAAGACCGGGAACTGATGTTAAAAGTTGGAACATGAGCTTCAATGTGTTGCTGTAATTTGTTTTTAAAATGGCACCAATTTTCATTGATATGCCTATCGTCAAAACGCTCCAGGAAGATTGAGAAATAGCTTGAGAGGTCCTGTTTAAGCTGCTCATAGTTCCCCTTGTTATATAGCCTCATTTGCTTGGTCAACCTGACTAGTTCTGGTGCTTGAAATCCTAGGTTAAAAGAACAGTGCTTTGTGGTCACTGATGCCTTCAAAACCGGTAAGAGAGGTAATAAATCTCGGAGGGATATTCAAAAGAACGTCTAATATATTTGAACATGTGGTGGTCACACGGGTAGAAAAACAAATCACCTGGGAAAGGTTAAAATCCAGGCAGAGACTGATAAAATCGCAGCACTCACCAGAACTTCCACCACCAACAAGAACAGATAAATTCCAATTTATCTCACGGAAGTTAAAATCGCCTTTTAAGATAAAAAGAATGACCAGTATATACTGTACACAAAATTGACAGCTCATCATGCAAAGCAGTGACAAAACTAGGTGACGCATCTAGTGGTCGATGACACACGCCAACCAGGATTGACTTAAAACCACATTTCACTGAGACTGTCATCGTCAATCGGGAAAAGAGTGAAACGACATCCGTGAGAGGATCAACAAAATAAATGATTTATTTGCAAGAAGGAGGATAGGAACGTGCCAGAAGCGATACATTAGAAAAATAATTAGCAATAAGAAAAGCAAAGCACTCAAGGCAGTTAAAGTCACGTCAACACACTCATAGCCCGTTCCCGCTACCGTCCTTGCCTTAGGTTCAAGTCTTTCCACTCGTTGTTTGGCGGAGCGTCGCCGCTTGATGTGATGATGCAGAAGCCGGTGTCTCGCACTCCCCCTGGAGTTGCTCGTAGCAGGCGTCGCCGACCGTAGCGACTGGTCCTCCCTCCGAGCTCTGGTCGTCACCGTGTGTCGCGGCCCGACCCTGGCTTTCACCGCTGCTTCTCCTCTCGCGCTCGCCGTACCCTTCTCGCGCTCGTTGTTCTCTGGAACGCGCTCGTTCCCTTCCGTTTCTTTTCTTCTTCCACCCGTAATAATCGTCACAGGCACGTGACACCCCCCCTCACTTCGAGAACTTCACAATATAAAGTTTCTTCATGAAGGCGACCTCCTCTATGGCTTGTTGTAGTGACCGCGGCACATTCAGAAATACCACCACTCTTGGTCCTTAGGACTCACGCACGTATGCCGTTTCCACATCCCAAAAATTAGTATCGTCCAAATCAAGAAAACAAACAATGGTTACGCTCTCGCGTCCCTATTTGCACGCACAAATCACATGGGCCACACACTCTTGTCCTGACCTAACTCAACAACAACAAAAAAAAATCCTAATGGGCCTCATTAACCCTGCGTCCTGCCTTTACGAACAAATATCCCCCTACGGCTTAGCTCTCTAGACGACTTAAGAAGTCTGCTCCCACATTGTCTTTCCCCTTAATGTATTCGATGTGAAAGTCCTGTTCCTGCAATTATACACTCCATCGCATTATGCGACTGTTAGAGTGCTTCGCTTTGTTCAAAAACTCCAAAGCTCGGTGATCCGTTTGTATGCAAAATTTTCTGCCATATGAGAACAGCCTAAATCACTCCACGGCCCAAACAATCGCAAGACACTCTTTCTCTACTGTGGCATAACTCTTTTCCGATTTTCCCAGTGTTCTGCTCGCATATCCCACTGAATGCAGCAGTCCTTCACTTTCCTGGAGCAATACTGCGCCCAGGAATGCATCAGATGCACCCGTCCTCAAAACGAATTCCTTGTCGGGATCTAGCGCCAACAGGATAGGTGGTCTTGATAAGCAGTCCTTCAGTCTCTCGAACGATTCCTCCTGTGCTGACCCCCATTTACCTTGATTTCGTTCTCCTTTCTTCGTGAGCTCCAGCAGTGGTGTGGCAAGATCCGCGTAGTTTGGGACGAAATGGCGGTAATAGCCGGTCAGCCCAAGAAACGACTTCACTTGACGTTTTGTCACCGGCCTTGGAGCGTCTTGTATCCTTCCAAGGATCTCCGCGTGGGGCGCGATTCGTCCTCCACCCAACTCATGACCGAGGAAGGTCGTCTTTGTAGATGCGATCTCGCATTTTTTCGGCCGAGCCGTGATATTGGCTTCTTGCAACCGATCAAAAACTGTCTGAAACGGCCTCATGTGTTGCGTCCACGTATCCGAGGCGATGAGAATGTCATCGATGTAGTGATGAGCCTCTGGAATTCCATGAAGCAACTTTTTCATCAGTCTGGTGAAGGTAGCAGAGGCAGTCTTGAGCCCGAAAGGCATGAACCTAAACTGGTAAAGTCCGCTCCTCGACGAGAACGCTGTCTTCTCTTTGGCCAAATCCTCCATCGGGATCTGCCAGTATCCCTTCGCTAGATCCAGCTTGGA